GCCAAAATATTGCTGGTGGGTTCCCCGGCCAAGTGCGACCCCAGGACCATGGTATCAACCCTCACGCAAGCTTGGGCCCCGCATACGAGGGTGTGGAAGTTTTGGCGGGAGAATCGCTAACTCGAGAATCAGAAAAGCTAGAAATCTGAAATCTTGAGGCTATGTCCCCCGTCTCCATAGAAACCAAAGATTTCAAATGCAGTCCCCAGCCATGCGCGGTTCCTGCGTATAGCCCCGTGAGGGTTCCTGGCGCGAAAATCGCTCACTCGGGAACCAGGGAAGCTAGGGAGTTGAAATTTTCAGGGAATGTTCCCGGCACATGAACAACTTAAAATTACTAAATTCAGCCCCCAATTGTGTGTGACCCTCACGTACGGCCCCGTGAAGATTTTTGGCGCGAAAATGGCTGAGTCAGGAACCAGGAAAGCTGGGAGATTGAAATTTTAGAGAATGTTTCCAGCGCATGTACTACTTAAAGTTATCAAACTCAGCCCCCTGGGCGTACGTGGTTAATCACGTACGGCCTCGTGAATATTTTTGGCAAGAAAATGCTAACTCAACAAGAAAATTTGGAAGCTGAAATTTCAACGAAATGTTCTCTGTCCAAATACCGCGCAGACAAATTAACTTCCCAGACTTCGAAGACCAGTATATCACACATTTCCAGCTACTGGGTTTCTGAGTGATCTCATTACGGCACGAAATATTGCAAAAACGCATGATCGCACGGGCCAACGCAGTGCGCGTCGCCAATGATTCCTTTTTTTTCCTCCCAAAACAGTTACTTTTTCCATGTTCTATTTGTTTATCCTTGAAAGTTTTTTTTAATGTTTTTAGCGCCAATGATGGTTTTCGAACGCTGCTTGCCAGTACTTTCCTGATTTTACTACTTTCTGGCTAAATCCGCACCTCTTGTTTCTTCCTTTTTTCCTCTCGAGTAGACATACTTTGGGATTCCCTTTAGATCAAGCAGACGAGTGGATTGCTACTTTACGTGTTATCTAAAAAAACATTTTTTTAATAAACGATTAACCCGTTACATTTACAACTGACAAAATCATCGTCAGACCAGCTGGCGAAGGAAAGTAACAATCCTAAACAATGCCCCATTTTGGATCGTGTCAAATCGATTCTTCGGTCCACTAGTTCAGTCAATGAGTATCTCTTTGTCACATCCTTCTGCATCGAGCTTTGACTGCTTATTCGGTGGCTGATTTTCCTCAGACTTCTTTTCTGACTCGGCTTTTTTCTCATTCGGAAATTCACTCTCTTTTGTGAAAGATTTGGGAGGTTGCTGTAAATCATCACTGACTGCTTGCGAAAGTGGTACATCCAGGATATTGTCACCAATTGTAGCCGCTTGTACGCGCCTTGAAGTCAAACGGGCAACTGAAAATACTCATCAGGAGTAGCTACAAGCTAGCTATCAGAAAGAATAGGAAAGGTCTCCGAAGAAATGTGATACCCTTCGCATCATTAACTGAACAAGATGATGAGCGACGGCTCCCTGGATTGGTCGTTTGGGTTGACTGGTTTGATGTAGTATCAACGTAGCCACG